TTGCGCATGCGCAAGAAAGTACGCATAATAAGGTCATAATGTTCCATATGGCTCATAGAATTACAATTATCCTTCAAGGTAAGTCTACCTCTTGTCTAATTTTCAATTCTCTTTTATATGTATCAAGTGCTTCTTTGTAAGTATGGACTCTCAGGAAATATTACATTAGCTGTAAGATTTCTAAAATCTATGGGTTTTTTTTTTGTTTCTTCCCAAGAAATGAAAAAGCAGTTTGCTATCTTGTTATTTTAAAGAAGCGTGCGATCAACAAGGTGGCTGACAAATCTAGTAGCTGTTTCTCATATAACAACATTAAATGTAACACCTTAAAGCGATGTTATTCCAAATAAAGATCACAGACAGAATAGACGCCAATCACACGATAAAAACAATAATACAACCGTCTGATTCAGAGCCTGATTAATGCTTTTGGGATATACGAAATATGCATGTTTCAATGCTGCATGAAAACAGAAGGGGGGAAATCAAGAAAGATCTTTGAGTGATAATTTTATTCAAAACCGCTAATCGCTGAAGACAGTATTAGTGTCATCTTTTCTTCAGTCTTTCGCATTATCTTTGAAATGAAAAAATTAAAACTCCAACTGTCTTTTAGGGACTTCCTGTTATAGGGGAGAGAATTGATAGACCGACCAATGACAATAACTCGATAGAACCTTGTAGATCAAAATGAAGTCATGCTGAAAGCATTAATTATAAGTAATATTGTGTATATTATGTATGCAAGAGAGAACTATTTTCCTTTCGCAATCTAACAGCAAAGCATTAATTTACAAGATGATGTTGAGAGGGAATTGAGCCTTGCGCCAACTGCTAGATTCTGTAGGCGACTGAGTAGGAGCGAGTTATACTGACTTCACACTACGGGGAAAAGATTAACATGAACAGGAAGTTAAAAAAAAGGCGAAATGTTAAGTCTTCCACTTCAGTTCTCATCTAAATATTGAGCTCAGATAAACCCTTCCCACGGAATAACTTATGTAAGATTCGACCATGCCAGCTATTAAGGTCTTGCTATACAATAGCAACTACAAGACAGTTTCGAACTGAAAAGTGTAAATTCGTTATGCAAGGAAAAAGAAATTATAGATCATAGAAATTCTAATTCTATTTTAACTGACATCTGATGCTTGAATTTTTTATGAGCCGATCCGCAAAACACGACATTCACCATTACATTTCATCTTCACATAAAGTATTTTATTTTCAAAATGTCACATTCTTATTATTGTAACATCAGTTTTTAATTCTGTATGAATTTTTCTTTAACATGAAAAACTTGCGTACAGTTGACAAGAATCATACAGCTATGTACAAGTACCGCTTACGACAAACAGATTATATTTTAAAATATATTCACTATAAATATCTAGTAATTCTATATACACTTCAAAGAGGATATTCTAATCCCTTGCTCTCAATATTTCTAAAAATGAACATATTATTAAATATTCAAGTCAATGTTCGGTGAGCAAAGTTCTGTGATGTGACCAGACCCACTTCTGACACCATCATGATTCATTATTCATGCAAAGTTGGTGTTTTTGGTTATCTTGACTTGTAAGCGAAGAAGAGGAGCGACGGTCGCTTCAATACTCTTTACAGCTACAAGTAACACTTCTAAATTCCGCTTGTTTGATTTGCCAAATGATTGTTGTTGGTTGTATTAAATGCGTGATCGTTCGATCGCAGTCAAGTTGTATAAATAATGCTGTATTTGCATTATCTTATTATGATTACTAACAACACCAGGTTTTCAGCGGACGTTTGCCGTCACAATTCATATTCTGTAAAATATTTCTCCTTTACTGTTCTTTCGGTAACTAGCTAGATGTGTTCCGGCAATGTTCATAATCCGCCATATAATTCAAACAGTTCATCCCATGCTTTATTCGGATCTTCTTCTGCGTCGTTTATTACGTACGATGATGACCGACTACGAAGCATCAAGTTCAGCCCGTTGGTTGGAATGTTCATAAAGTTCACTGCTGCTCGTTCAGCTAGAATTGACGCTCTTTTCCTTGCGTTTTTGATCTTGGTTCCAAGGACTTTTGATCTTGGATTCTTGGCTGGTTTATAGTAGCGAATCTCCTCCAGTTCGATCGACCATCTTACTCGCTTGTCTGCGTTGTTTTTCGGTTGACTGTGCGAAGGCAAATCAGCACAACTGATAGATTTGGTTAGAGTCATGTTGGTGTTGGTTTGGGTCAGTGTTTGCGGTGTACTGTTAATCTTCTTGTATGGCTTGATCCTGGGGGATTTTCCTTGTGTTTATGAGGCACGTATGACTTGGGAATGATTTGGATCCCACATCCGTCATCTGCTTTTATTGAGTACCTCATTAATATTCACATCCCCATGCTGACGAGAGAACCAACCAGTAGAGACTAATTGATCGGAAGAGGATTCTAGAAGACCTTAGGCGGTAATGTGAATGCGACGACCGCTCTTAGCTCCAGTACTTTGCAGTTTTACCTCAATATCAAGTCTATAAATTCAAAACGTAAACTGAAGAAGATCTTCCATTCTTTTAATTGCTTTCTTTCCTTTATATTCTTCATTTTTCAAATATCAGCACCATTCTTTGGTACTTTTCGGTCAAGATTAGTCCAGCCAAAAACGGAAAAAGGCGTCAAAAGCCGAAAGATATTACATCCGAAATCCTTTGTAAGACGTCAAACTTCATGCACAGCGGCTACATGCTGACTTCAGAATATGAATTAATACACATATCACCCATCTGATCATGATTTCTTGCACGGTGCTCACTTTATTATTAGATTTACAAGTAAGAAGGCATGATTTCTATCGGGGGGTGGGGTAGGAGCATGTCCGTAAGGCGGGTCTAACTCAGCACACTGATACATGAAATACATATAACTCGTTCAGACATCGGAAGTTTTCACCTCTTCGCATGTACTTATTCCAGATGATATATATCAAAATGATAAACGATTTCGACATTTTTTTTAGCGGGAGTTTGCAGCGCGATGAACGTAGGTATCTAGTCGTTAATGCACAACACATGCCCTAATATGACGTCATATTCGTACGTCTCACTTATCTGCCTCAAGCGACCTTTCATCCTCAATCCGACAAAGTAAACAAATAAATGAACTTTTATCTTCTAGTTTTTAAAATTTTTTCAGATACTGTTATAATTCAAGATGTTCTTGATAGACTGAGTCGTAGATCGTTCTTCAGTACACACACACACACACGGTCTGGAGTTATGTAGCCGTTTGCCAGTCACCCTGAAGGCTTATTATCACTGATGCACTCGTACTGACCATCCTGAACACCACATACACTAAAAACACAAATAAACCTTTTAAAGGTTGATGGACTGTTTGGACTTCACCAAATTAAGAAACCTTTACTAACGGACTAGTCATTTGGCCTAACAGTCCTTGCCAATGTAAGGGACTCTGAATGTTCGTATCAAAAATGGATAAAGTTTTTCTTCGTAACTCTTACCCATGTCGAGAAATAAATTCGGGAAAAAAGATCCCAATAATGTTATATTCAAACTTAATATCTTTTCATTATTCGAGTTTTTCTAGTAGTTTTCTTGTAATAAAGTTTCTCGGCTCTCAGTTGGCAAATTCAAACATCCGTTAAAGCACTTTCTAATTTTTTCATTAATAGCACATGCCAACAGCGAAGGCTTCAATTCAGTGTCTCTGTTGCAACAAAAGAAGGAAAGTTCTAGACTGTTGACGGGGAAGGTGACAAGTGCGGCACTGTTCACCTGCAATTCATGCAGGTTATCGTATGAATGCTGATTGAGAATTTATTTGCGCCGAATTATGTTAGAAGTACATTGTCAAGCAGTTCATTGAAAAAGAAAAAAGATCATCACGTATTCACGCTTTCAGTGGTGTCTTTCCGGCTTGAAGTTTATCTTTTAACTTTAAATCCAAGAGTATCCTACATCTGCGTTCAGACCTATTAGTATTCAGGTTTGCAGAATATTAGTCGTTAGTCAAAAGAGGTTTTCAACGCAATTAATCGATAAATAATAAATAGATAATAAATACTAAATGGGATTTAACAGTGGCATTTCCACAGAGTGGCTCTTCATCCACTAAATTCCAATTGGAATTTGAAAGTTTATTTTTACGGAGGGAGGAAAACCAGAGAACCCGGGAAACCTTGAAGCACAGGAGAGAACCAACAAACAACTCTACTCACGTACGACATCGAGCACGGTGAGATTCGATAGATCATTGTATGGGAACACCCTGCTCCACCCCTAATATAAAATGACAACCAAGCGGCTTAATTAAAATAGCAAAATTTTCCATTTCAACTGATATCGTTCATGTCTTTGGTGTTTGGAAGGCTGTATATAACCCAGATGGATGCTTGACACTATAGAGTAATGACAATGATATCAGATATCAACAACGATTGGCCAAAATATTCACCGGAGACCTTCCTTAAATATCCATTGAGTAATTTGGCACATGTCCTAGAACCTGGACTAGACTCTGGACTGGACTCTGGACTGGAATCTGGACTGGACTCTGGACTGGACTCGCTTTCGGTCACACACACACACACACACACACACACACACACACACACACACACACGCACACACACACACACACACACACAAAACATTACCGAAAATAAATGATATAAATGTGTCTTAAATGTGTATGAGAATTGAAAAGAATGAATGATAAAAAGATGTATATGTTCATGTAAACCTGGGAGGCTAGTCCAAGATGGATAGCACAGAGTCCAGTCCAGGTTCTAGGACATGCCAAGTAATTTATTGTACATAGTGATTTAGTCCGTGTGAAGTATTTTCAGTGATGTTTATCAGTAATGATGTGACGAAAATTTTCTACTCTAATCTAATCTTGGACAAACTAACATTCTATATATATATATAGCCTTGTATACTATTTTGAAATATATAAATGACATTGCTAAAATAACAGTATCCAAAGGTCAATATTATGATAGCATAATTGACTCTAATTCCTACGCTCACAATACGACCTCGTGAGAAAGCCTTCATACCATATATTACTGAGTCGCAAACAGAAGATTATATTGGAAGGTGCGCGCGCAGCCTGTCACTTTGAATTTATTTTGATGCTTGTTTTGGTACATTTAATATGACAGGAGAATTTTCAATAGTTATATGTATAAATGTATTTGATGTTTAATATCGTTATTTTCTTGTTTCTTGCTGCGTGTTGTTTTATACTGTATGACGCATAACCCAGAATTATCTGTGAACCTAGAATAGCCACAGAACATGTAGGAGGACGATACTATGTGTTCAAATATAACACTATAATCTTTGATAACCGATTGTAATCACTTAATATTACTCTTATAAAAGTGTTGTACACTTACAAGCGAAGATTACATCATATCATGACGTGAATGCCGTTCAGAAACCTTAAAAGCATATATACAAGTCTATACACTCAAGATCAAAACTTGTTAAACTTGAAATAGCTATTCAGCTCTAAAAGGCTCTCTGCTGTTAGTGAGTTGATCTGGTCAGCGGAGAAAAAGATGCGTGCGCATAGGCAGGACTTTCCAGATTATATGCTTTTGATTTCACTTTGATCAAAAATAACAGCGGTGTATCTTAAACCAGTTTAAGAATAGACTCACTCGCACAGGGTTAGCCTCGTATCATTGTTTAAATATTCACAAATACCAACAGTAGTAAAGAATGCACAACTTCAACAATACAAACACTTTGAAACTCGAACACGTGAATATTCTGCACAAACTCGAGGCTAACCCTGTGCAAATGAGTCTGTAATCAAGAAACAACACAGCGGTAATTTGGAATTCGAAACGGGTCCTTCAATTAATAAATCGTTCTTTGTATTTCATGGTCATTTTTACAAACGCGGGCCGCATTTTATCGTGATTGGAAGCAATAAAACAAGTGGGAAAATGTTGAGTGATTATTCGTTAAGTGAACACACACGTCCCATGGGAGATGATAACCATGAATTTAAAAGTATTTACTTCGAGCGAAGTTGGTTCGTTGCTCATAATCGTATGTTGGCTCGCCTTTCCGCTCTAACAAACCAATGGAAGAGTTATCCTTATCGTCTGGAGTTACATCGTTTAAAACATATCCGAATTAACAGCCAATCAGCGATAAGAATGTTTAATCAAAGACAGATGAGACAGCAAAACTTGGAATGACTATATTCGAGTTGGATCTGGAATATTTACTAGTAAATACAGGAAAAATATCACTTTTATTGCACCAATAACTCGTGGCTATTAAGGTTGTGAAGTGGAAAAAGTTGACAGACATGCATCTATCAAACACTTGATATATTTGGCAGTGTGTAGGCCAGCAATCACTAATCAAGACTGCTTGGGGATGAATACAAGAAGAAGGTACGCTGAAATGTTCTCGTTTGTTACGTATGATTTGTCACTGTTGCTCTTTCCCCACATAGCCGGGTGGTAGTACCGTCATCTTGAAGCGCATAAATGGCAGCATTGATCGCTCGTTTTCTCATGTTCGATCCTCGAAGGTTTTCATCAGAAAAAGAATCCTACTCAAAATGACTAAGGGAAAGTCTTTGGTTAAATAAAAGTTTAAAATAGTGATATTTTAAGATGTGACATTATAGAGTTTTCTCAGATCGATATAGATTATTCAACAACTTTGCGATATGGAAAGCCAAAATGTTGTACGACCTTCTTTCTGCCTTTGAAAAGTAACAATATTTGCCCTTTAATGTTAAAAATGCAAGCACGGTACCACGTCACAAGGCTGCTATTAAGTGCGCAGTTTTCGTACGAACTACATGTCCGCGCGCATGCTTGCTAGAAGCAGTAAATAGTTGATTTTGTTCACTGTAAACATGTAGAATATTCGAGAATACTGTAAAATCTAGCTACCACTAAGTGACGACACATGATGAATGACTTACAATTAACACTCGCTGCGTTAAGTCACGTGCATGGAAGTGAGTACTTTAATCGCGGTTCTTTATAACTAGTAAGATACTAGGTTAAAAGCCTTTCAAAGTAGTATTTAATTTTTCATACTTTTCCGGAATATTTCGAATGGAATGGAATCAATTAAGACGAATCAGAGACCACTTTTTAATCAAAGTAAATTTTATATCCAACCTATTACATTGTGACCGCTTGTCCTATAGTACATTCTAGAACACAGTCATTTGTTCTTTTAAGTTTTATTAGCATCATGTAATGAAATTGCCTGTAGTAACCTGTCAAGATCAGTGATATTTCAATGTGTTTTTCTGTCAGGCTTGTCCAATATTGCTATTAATTATTATCATGAACATTTTTTATGCGGT